CTGAGCATGAGAAGGAGGTGGATAAACCTCCTCTCAAGAAGACAAGGTCAAACTCTCCCTCCAGCAGCAAGGGCAAGAACATCCCCAAAAGCAAGGGGAAGAAGGCTGGGGAGACTGTAACGACCTACTCCACCACATGGTATGATATTGTCCGCTTTGGGCTTGAGCCCGCAAGGTTTTGCTCTTGGGTTTTATCCCAAAAGGCCTCATACCAATTGGAGATGACATACTTACATATAAGCACTTCACCTTTCCTCTACCCAGGCGATGTGGGACTGTGCACCCGTAGCTCGCCAATGTGGTAGCCTGTCAGTGTCTCTCGCACCCACCCACGACACACCCGCCCACAAGGTCATCACAATCCACCTCCCTTGGAGGCCCGACGTCCCTGTCGGCACACTTCCGGCTGGGTCAGACTCTGATACCATTTGTAATGACCCGCTCCACCACATGGTATGATATTGTTCGCTTTGGGCCTGAGCCCGCACGGTTTTGCTCTTGGGCTTCACCCCAAAAGGCCTCATACCAATTGGAGATGACACACTTACATATAAGCACTTCACCTTTCCTCTACCCAGGCGATGTGGGACTGTGCACCCATAACTCGCCAATGTGATAACCTGTCAGTGTCTCTAGCACCCGCCCACGACACATCCGCCCACAAGGTCATCACAATTGGTATCAGAGCCTGACCGAGCCGGAAGTGTGCCGACGGGGACGTCGAGCCTCTAAGAGGGGTGGATTGTGATGACCTTGCGGGCGGGTGTGCCGTGGGCGGGTGCGAGAGACATTGTCAGGCTACCACACTGGCGAGCTACGGGTGCACAATTCCACATCGCCTGGGTAAAGGAAAGGTGAAGTACTTATATGTAAGTGTGTCACCTCCAATTAGTATTAGGCCTTTTGGGGTGAAGCCCAAGAGCAAAACCGTGCGGGCTCAGGCCCAAAGCAGACAATATCATACCATGTGGTGGAGTGGGTCGTTACAAGTGATATCAGAGCCTGACCCAGCCGGAAGTGTGCCGACGAAGACGTTGGGCCTCCAAGGGGGGTGGATTGTGATGACCTTGCGGGCGGGTGTGCCGTAGGCGGGTGCGAGAGACACTGTCAGGCTACCACACTGGCGAGCTACGGGTGCACAGTCCCACATCGCCTGGGTAGAGGAAAGGTGAAGTACTTATATGTAAGTGTGTCACCTCCAATTGGTATGAGGCCTTTTGGGGTGAAGCCCAAGAGCAAAACTGTGTGGGCTCAGGCCCAAAGCGGACAATATCATACCATGTGGTGGAGTGGGTCGTTACAGAGACTGACCAGGAGGAGGAAGTCCGGGCTTACGTTCAAGCTGAGTCTAGAGAACCTTGGAAACCCGTCTTCTCAAGGGCTGACAAGTCGATCCTTCATTCCGGGGATTCAATAGTCTCTAACCCCTTTGCTGCCTTGGCAGTTGCTCGAGGGATGTGACTACCCAAGGATGAAGAGATCATTGGGAATCTGGGGTTGGACCAGCTGCTACCATCTGCCCCAGTTGATGCCGTGAAGGTTTACTCTTTTCCCTCCACTTGCTTAATTCTTCTGATTTTTTTTCACCGTATATTTACTGATATTGTCATTGTTGCTCATGTAGAGTCTGTACCAGACTATGGCACTGTGTGCCACTGTTGAAGCTCAATCTCTTTCCATTAAAAAACTGGAAAAGGGACCTGGGCAATGCTGAGAAAAAGGCTTCACACTGGGCTATGAGTGCGAAGATTGCTTCTGATGCGAGGGATGTCTACAAGAATCGCCTGACAGCTTCTAAGGCGAAGGTGAAGACTCTGGAAGCTAAAGTCCAGCGCTTGAATGACGCCATTGGTACCTGCATTACTGCTGAGAGACAAATACAAGGACGTTACTCCACCATTGTGCGTTTATCCAGTGCAAAAGCTTTCAGGTTCGGCTTTAGCCAGGGCTCTGGTGACAAAACAAAGGATCCAGAAACCTTTGATGCTAACATGGAAGTGTCCTTCCCCTATGCTGAGGGTCCAAAGGCCCAAGAGGCTGAGGTGCTCTTTGCTGAGATGGTGAAGGCTTATCCAGAGGATCATCCAACTTCAAGCTTGCCAGCTCCTACATCTTCTGACCTGCTAACTCCTCTATCCACCAGTCCGAATGTAGTGAATGCCTTTAACTCTGCTCCTTTTGATCCAAAAAGGAAGTAGAGATATGTAACTTTTTTTTGTCTTTCTTGTTTTGAGAGAATGAATGTAGAAACTATACATTTTTGTTCTTGAAATGTAATGACTACATTTATTCTGAAGTCTTTTTCATGCTTGTGAATGCCTCTTGTTTTTACACGACTATATTGTAATAATATAATCCTATCCTTAGGGAGGAAGGCTTATTGCCTAAGGATTTTGGACCTTTTGTAGTCCGAAGCAAAAACTGGACAGATGATAAGAAGGGAATCCCTTTGATTATTTAATTAATATCTGAGGATGGTTTCTCCGTCTAGTATTCTAACCGTCAAGGGAACCCTTTTTACCACTGATTTGTATGGCATAGATATATCAATACTTGTTTTCCTTGTATTATTTCGACGTGGGACGAAACTTTCCACGAATTATATACCATTAGCCCATTAAATAAGGATCTGTGGGCATGTTGCTATAGAGAACTTTTGCCCCCAGTTGGTCTTATAGCTTACTGGCGCAGCTTCGGACTTAAATCGTCCGAGGTGGTATACTTTTTGGCTCAGCCTCGAACTTAAATCGTCCGAGGTGGTATACTCTTTGGCCAAGAGCCTGAGAGGAATTGTATTACACTGGATTCCTGTTGTCCGAAGTGATATGCTCCTCGGTCATGAGCTTGGGAGGAGCTGTGCTGCGCCGGACTCTTGAGGGCCGAAGCGATGTATTCTTCGACTATGACCCTGGGAGGAACTATCGTAGGTCGGACTCTTGAGGTCTGAGCGTTGTGTTCCTTGGCAATCAACCTGAGAAGAACTATATTATGTCGGACTCTTAAGGTCTGAGGTGTTGTGTTCCTTGCCTATGAGCCTGAGAGGAACTGTATTGAGCTGGATTCTTGGGATCCGAAGCAAGGTGTTCCTTGGCTATGAGCCTGAGAGGAACTATATTGAGCTGGACTCTTAAGGTCCGAAGTGAGATGTTCCTCGGCTATGAGCCTGAGAAGAACTGTACTAAGCTGGACTCTTAGGGTCCAAAGCGATGTGTTCCTCAGCTATGAGCCTGAGAGGAACTGTATTGAGCTGGACTCTTGGGGTCCGAAGCGATGTGTTCCTCGGCTATGAGCCTGATCTGGAAAACTCACCAAGTATGCAAGGCTGGCTGAAGATTCAAAAATGACATGAGGCCAAGAAAGAGACTAACTATGACTGAGAAGTCCCCCATACATTTGTTCAGGAGACTTTCTTTCACAGAGACTCTCTTTATGGCAACCAAATGTAGCGTGCTAACTCTATATTTACTATACACCTCTTGTATTCCTATTTGATGTAGGACAAGGGATATATGGGCTAAAAATCTGGTTTGTTTAGAAATGACAAAAATTATTGCAAAGAATGCCTGTTGGTGCTAGGGTTTTGAACACAATTTGGGCTGGGCCGTTACTGTTACCAACGGGCCCTCTTTGAAATGCACCCAAATATTTAATATTTCCCTATATAAAGGTATGTATAAAAATAGTTTTTTTCCAATGTGGGACCACAGTAGATAAGTGCTCTGAGCTATACATATTTGTGGTTTGTGCCCAAAAATGAAAGAAAAACTGTAAAACACCTTTGGGTTCATGATTTAAGTAGAGCCTGAATGTTCAATTGGCATTCGTTGTAATGCATATGCATTCTAAAGTACGTTTTTATGAAAAAGGACTTGTAAGTACCACCAAAAAGCCAAAAAATTATATAGCTTTGTTTTGTTTGCTTCGTGGTAATATCTTTCTTTTGGCGTAATATCAATAGTAGGGTACACGCTTTTGTCACAATATGAATAGTAGGGTACATGTATTGCCACCTATGACGACAAAAGAAAATAATAAGAAGTAATACCCCATATTACTAAAGGAGTAAAGATGTGTATAACTCAAGAAACTTTTATTATATGGGCCTAGAAACAGCCATACTTGGATAAAAAACAGACATATGCTGTCTGTAAATGAAAAGTAAACAAACTATATCATTAGATGATAGCACCTTTTCAATTGTATTGCATTCCATGGACGTGCAATTGGATGCCCATCAGCTTCTGCCAATCAGTAAGCTCCTTTCCCTACTACTTCTATGACTCTGTAAGGTCTGATCCAATTGGGTTACAATTTTTTAAATGGGCTGTTTCCTGCTTCAGCACCCAATCTCCTTCCACAAAACATCTGAATTTGACTAGCTTGTTGTAACTGTTACGAACTGTTATTGATACGAAGCGAGCCTAATTGTTGCGGCATCCCTCTTTTCTTCCAAGAGATCGAGGCTGTGTTTGAGTTGTTGATCATTATTACCTTCGAGCACCAAGTGGGTCCAAAGAGTCGGAACTACTGATTCCGTGGGGATGATAACCTAACCCATAGGCTATGGCAAAAGGACTTTCTCCCGTTGGCCTTCGTGGGGTGGTTCGATATGCCCAAAGCACCTGAGGTAGATTCTCGTACCATTTTGATTTGAGTTTTTCTAACTTTTTCTTCAAGTAGCTGAACATGGTCCGGTTAGTTATTTCAGCCTGCCCATTTCCCTGAGGATGGCTAACTGCAGCCAACTTTTGCCTAATCCCATGCTCAGCAAAGAACTTTCTTGTGCTTCGGTTATCTAAATTCGGGCCATTGTCCATCATGATAACATTCGGCATACCAAATCGGCAGATTATGTTGTTCCATAGAAAACTCTTCACTTGTTCATGGGTCACACTTGAGTAAACTTCGGCTTCAACCCATTTAGTGAAGTAATCTGTGGCTAGCAACATGTATTCCTTTTTCTCCATAGTTTTGGGTAAAGGACCGACCATATCAATCCCTCATTGAGTGAATGGCAATGGATTCGACATTGTGTGCAAATCTTCGACCGGTTGATGTTTCATTGGACCATGTCGTTGGCACTTATCACATTTTCTGGCATACTCTTTAGTATTCCAAGCCAAGTAAGGCCAGAAATAACCTTGAGCCAGGAGCTTATGTGCCAAGGATCTACCTCCAGAGTGATTGCCACAATCCCGGTCATGAATCTGTTTCAGAATCATGAGGGCTTCAGTGGGACTTAAACATTTCAGGTAAGGACCTGAGAATGACTTCCAATATAATTGATTATTGATGATAGCATATTTAGTTGTGATAAGCCTGAGTTTCAGTGCCTCGGCCTTCTGGTTTGGAAGAGTCACCTCCTTAAGGTAAGCTTCCAATGGATCCATCCAATATACTTCGCGTGGAACATCTAGGATCACCATTATCTCTTGCCGAGGGCTTATACTTGGTTCATCCAGGATGTCAATTGGTACGATCTGGACTAAATCTTCATCCGAAGAAGATGCTGCTGTAGCCAACTGATCTGCTTCAGAATTCTCCTCGCAAGGTATCTGATGGAATTTGATCTGATCGAACCCTCATGAGGCACTCTCCACAACCTCCCTGTAGGCTTTCATTCTATTCTCCTTGGGCTGATACTAGCCTGTTACCTGATTCACAACAAGTTGAGAATTACTAAAAACTTTTAGACAGCTTACCTAAAGCTGGCTTACTAGCTGGAGTCCTGCGAGCAAGGCCTCATATTCTGCCTCATGCTTGGTGCCTTCGGGGGTTGTGATAACGACTCCGGCCCTGGCACTAATCAGGTTTAAGGAACCACCCACCCGAAGCTCCCATTGTGGCTCGGAAGGGCTTGGCTCTTCGGGTTTATCCTCATACTCCAAGAGGAAATCAGCTAGTGTTTGTCCTTTGTGTGACACCTTCGGTTCATAGGATATATCAAAGGAACTGAGTTCGATTACCCATTTAGTTATTCTTCCGGATAAATCAGGCTTGGAAAGAATGACTCGCATGGAGCAGTTGGTAAGAACTTTGACGCTGTGCGACTCAAAGTAGTGTCGAAGTTTTCTCTTTGCATACACCAATGCTAATATGATCTTCTCTGCTTTGCTGTATCGCGTTTCTGTATCTTTTATTGTCTTGCTGGTGTAGAAGATTGGATACTGATTCTTACCTTATTCTCTAATCAATACTGCACTCGTGGCTATGCTGGAGATGGCTAAGTACATGATAAGAGTTTCACCAGGCTTCAGAGCTGACAGAATCGGGGGTTCACCCATGTAGCACTTCAGTTGATTTAGAGCAGCCTGTTGTTGAGGTCCTCATATGTCTTTGTTTTTAGATTTTATTGCATCGAAGAATGGTTTGCACTTATCAGACAATCGAGAGATAAATCGACTGAGATCTGCGATCTGACCGGTTAAAACTTGTACTTCCCTGCGGGTTTTTGGTTCTTGATTTTGTATAAGGGCTTAAGCCTGAGCCGGACTCACCTCAATTCCCCTTTTGTTTACAATATGGCTGAGGAACTGTCCTGAAGAAACCGCAAAGGAGCACTTCGAAGGGTTTAGCTTCATGCCATACTTTCTCAAAGTGTCAAAGACCTCTTGGAGGTGCTTAGGATATTCTTCCTTCTTCACACTTTTGACCACCATATCGTCGATATAGGCCTCGATCATCTTTCCCAACATCTCGTCGAAGATCTTGTCAACAAAGCGCTGGTAAGTTGCCCCAGCATTCTTGAGCCTGAAGGGCATGACTCTGTAACAGTAGGTGCCCTTCTCTGTTATGAAAGCAGTCTTCTCTTCATCCTCTGGATTCACAGGGATTTGGTTATAGCCGGAGTATGCATCAAGAAATGTGAGCCTATCAAAACCAGTAGTGGCATCAACCATCTTATCGATTTTGGGTAATGGAAAGTTGTCTTTAGGGCAGGCTTTGTTGAGATTGGTAAAATCTATGCACACCCTCCATTTTTCATTCTTCTTCTGAACTACCACCACGTTGGAGAACCATTGTGGGTAGTGCACCTCTCGGATGAAGCCTATGCTACCCCCGAATTTTCGGATGCGAGTTGGCCAGGCCCATGCCCGATTACTCGAGGATATCAAACCAATTAGCAATAATCGAACACAGAATACAATTAAGATAAACAGGAATAAATAAAATTGCTGAAAAGAAACTAAAATGATAATCCAGAAACTGAAACCTTTGAATAAAATTTATAAATAAGAACTATTCCGATACATTCAATTTCTCCATTTATAATACAACTCAGGAATTCATCTAGTGGACTCCTAATAAGAATCCAACACTGAAACAACAACTGAAGAAAATCCAATGCTAAACCATGAAGAAAACTCCTATGTCGTCGGAAGGATAAGTAGCCGTCTCTGCTCAACACGAACAAGCTCAAAGACCTGGAACCGTCCGTTACCTGAAAAATAATAGTGGGTCAGGCTCACGAACAAGTTTTATCCTAACTACAATCTAAGCAGAGATCTGATACGTAGATATATCCTAGATGTCTCAACCATACCTATATAGTCCGTAGATATATATATATATATATATATATATATATACACACACTATAGGACTTTCATTAGACTATTATGAGGGTCTCAACCTGAATAGAAGGCATCACGCAAAACGCACCTGAGTGGGCATGACTACCTAAGCCTAACAGGGTATACCTCAACCACCATAGCCAGCTATACATCCAACTGCATTTACACTCCCTAATCGTCGACTCTGAGACTCAAGCTCATATCGCGGTACCATAGTTATATATATAAATTCCATCCAAATACAATATTATGCCGATCAACTATTCGTCGTCAAAGCACAACATATAATTAAGATTTAAATATTTTAATTAAATCCCTATCCTTTCTAATACAGAAATATAAACAACCATCCAATATGCCATTCAATTGTTTTAGTTGACAGGACATGAAACCATGTAGGGTTTAACTGTTTTAGTTAATCCATTCCGTATGTATGAATGGGTAGGAATTAGCGTTTTGATCTAATCCTTCGCTCCGTATGCCACCGTCCCATACCGATGCATATTATGCATATGATCCATAAATGATGCAACCTTTCATACAGTAAATCAAATACAATCCACACAATCCATATAGTTGATAAAATAGAATTTAAACAGTTCATCAACTAAAAATTCATAACAATATCCATGTAACTGACGAGACAAAGTTTAATAGGTCGTCAGTTTAAAACCCAGAATCCATCCATGTAATTGACAAAACAAAACTGAATAGTTCATCAATTAAAAATCCAAAATATATTCATGAAATTGATAAAATTTAATTTACCAATTCTACGATTAAAATCCAGACCAACATCTATGTACTTGATAGAATATAATTTAACAATTCTTCAATTAAAATTCAGACTCATATCCACGTAATTTGATAGAATATAACTTATTACTTCATCAAATAAAGTCCAGGATAGTCATAACAAATTTTAACATGTACATGACTCTATTCTACATCCAGAACATGATTCATAAATCATTCTATAGTCCATTAATTTTTTAAAGCAAAACGAACCAATTTAATACTTCTTATTCGTTAACAGCATGCAAAATCAGTTAAACTTTCCTACGGTTAAATCCATGAGCACAAAGACATTAATTTATTCAATTTAGGCTCTAATATAGCATAATATAATGTTTGGAATCCATGTTACAATCCATTTAAATTTTTAAATCAAGATTTAATAGTTTAGTCCTTCCTATTCGTTAACAACGTGCAAAGTTGCTTATTTTTACATTGTTTATTCTACTTGCTCTATGGATCAAAGCATACAATTAGAGAGTCTTAAATCCCTTGAAATTACTTTTAAAATTGTTAGTCTAGTCCTTGAAACAATTCAGAATTCCAAACAATGCCCAAACAGTGTCCAAACAGTCCTGGAACGCACCCAAACAAAACCCAACCAAGGGAGCCTTCTCTCTAATCAACAGAGCAGGCTCTTTGCACCTTAGAGCCGGCTCCCTAGCCCTTGGAGCCCGCTCTATGAAGGGGGAAGCCGGCCCCCAACTTCCTGGAGCCGGCTCTCTCCTCCTTTGAGAGCGCTATTTGCTTCCTTCTCCGTTTCCGACCATCTGCTTCGTCTCTGGCCCTTTCCTACCCCTCTATTCTTCCTTAAAACTGGTCCTAACTATCTAATATATATCCAGTGTCAACCCCCAGTCCTTAGTTTACAACAGTAAGAACTAAAACAACAATTTAAAACCACACCAGTTTACATGCTTTAAATCAGACGACGAAAAAACAAAGGTGCAAGAAATATTTCAGACAATATAAACATATACAGATGATCAAGTTGACATACATTACGTAGGTAAGATTCAATTAACATTCAATTACAATCCTAGAGATCCTTTAGGCATGCACAGAACACGGGCCAAGGGGAGAGAGACAGAATAGACTTTGCCTGTGATTTCAGTTATGAAATCTTGGCGTCGCCTCTAAGTTTCCGGCAATTGTTGAATACCGTTAAGCCTCCTACTGCTCTGGCTCTAATCCAGAACCAACCTCCTTGGTCCTCTCTGTTTCCCTCCTTGGTAGCCCTAACTGTGCTTCCGTTCTCTCAAGCCTCTCTTTACGTGAGCAGACTATGCTTATGTTTTTAAAACCCTAAGCCACCGTAATAATATACTTATAGGCTTAGAAAAATATAACCCTAACTCTAAGTAAAACCCTAAACTGAAACTTAATCGGCCCAAAAGAATAAAACCTAATTTAATTAAACAAACCAATTAATTTAAATAAATAAATAAAACAATAAATATATTTTCCACATAAGCACACATTAATGAAAATAAAAATACAACTACTTCAATTAAACCACCAATTAAAAAAATGCAATTAAAGACACAATGAAGCAATTAAATAAAATAAATAACCAAACAATTAAACAATTTACCACATAAGCACATAGCCACACCTAATTAAATAAAAATGTACGTGAAATAAATAAATAACTTTCCATTATATCCTTTTTAAAATTAGGGGTATTACAAAGCCTACCTGGAGCAATTTGCTTACTTCTTCAGCTATAATTTGGTTGTGCTCTGGAGCAAACCTTCTGTGTTTCTACTTGACTGGTTTAAACGCCGGATCAACCTTTAGGCTATGGTATGAGATCGAAGGATTGATTCCCACCATGTCTGAATGCTCTCAAGCAAATGCATCTGTGTTCCGTCGAATGACATCAATTAATGCTTTCTTTTCTTCGACTGTGGGGGAAGAACCTATGTAGGTAACTTTCTGAGGATCGCCGAGGATTATTTCGACAACCTCCAGAGACTCCTCGGTAGGCTTTTCAGCTTCGACTTCATCCTCTGCTTTCAAATATCTGGGCAGAGGGTTATGTAATTGCTATTTGGACATACTCCCAGGAGGTGTGATCTGGGACTGTTTTGTTACCTTCTTTGCCTCATTCTGTGTCAACATGTAACACTTTGGCAGCGACTTGATCTCTCCTGAGGTTAATAACCTTTTTACCATCCGGAGAAAAGCATCACATCACTTAATGAAGGGTAGATGGAACCCCGTTCATTCGGTGGATCCAGACTCTTCCCATAATGAGATTATAGGAAGGGTGGATCTCCGTTAAAATAAAGTTCTCCTTCAATGTCTTCTTTGCCGCGGTCACGGACAGGTCAATTACCCCAAGGGGGTCCACCTTCGTGCCATCGAACCCCATCAAAGGGCTGGAGGTGGGCCGAATTGATGATGATGGAATCTCTAGTTGCTTAAAGACTGCCTTTGTAATGATGTTGGCACTGCTACCTGGGTCTATCAAAACCCTCTTAATTATACAATTCGCCACCAAGAGACTGATGATCAACAGATCCTCGTAAGGGAGTTGAACTCTGGATAGATCTCCATTGCCGAACCCAATGTTGACGCTTCCTGAAGCGATAACGTTTATCGAGGATAACCTTCTTAGCTTATGGGCTGTTCTCAATTGGGACCAATATACCTCCTCTGACTCTTGATTATCCTCCGATCTTTCATGTATTGCATGGATGACCTTCACTTGATTACCTTCGACCTTACGAGGATTGACCTCCCGAGGCTTCACGTACTCCTTTGTTGTGAGGTAGTCTGCCAATTCACCTCTCAGTATCATGTTTTCCATCTACCGCCTAAAGGATCTGCAATCATTAGTTGTATGCCCGTAATCTCTATGATAGACGAAGTGTTTGGTCTTATCTCTCTGTTCCAATGGTTGCCTTATTGGCTGAGGGGGCTGCAAACTTCATTTTATTCTCCTGGAATAGCCGAGCCAAGGTTGTGCGAAGAGGTGTGAACCTTTCCTCTGTCATTTGCCTTTTCTCGGGTATTTAAATGGCTGGTGCAGAAGTGTGCTGGCTTTTTCGGCTTTTTGAGTTTGAAACCCTTTGCTGAGGCTTGTTCTCCACTGTGACGAGGGTGGCATGTTGCGCTCGGTGAGCCACATTCTCCTCAAGCCAGATGTAGATCTGCGCCCTAGCATTGAGAGTCGGCATATTCGGAGGGGAACATTGACGAGGCCGCTTATATACGCCAAAATAATGTAGTGAATGTGTGGTTCAAGAAAAGTCTTTTATATCAAATTTAAATTTATAAAAACCACTACCAACACTACTACTAATGTAGCAAGAGTGAGTAGGGATCGTCCCAATGGATTATACGTGTTGGAATTTAACTTCGACTCTAGTGGATCACAAGATTGCAAAGAGAGGGTTTGGATTAATTAAACTAAGGTACAATGAAATTAAAATGCAAGTAAAATAAACTAGTGAGAGATACGGATTTAAGAGATATGAAGAGAGGTCTTAGGGTATTGGAATCACCACTAAGCTTATATAATTAACCACTTGCTTTCCATTAATGGGGAATACATTGTTGTGAACAAAATGCGACTATCAATTGCAATATTAAGCATAGACCATCAAATTAAAGAATGAATTGTTTACCTAAACTAAGTGTAACACAACCCATCAATTCTAAGCATGACCCATCAAATTAGTCACAATTGTAGCACACATCAATCTAGAGAATCATGGAATTTGCAATAATAAGCCATGGAATATCAAATCAAGTATAGATAGTCTACCTACCTACAAGCATGAATTAAATTGTAGAACAATCCATCAAGTGTAAGAATAATCCATCAAATTAATTGACAAACCCATTCAATGAAAACCCATGTCTAGCCATCACTAGATTCTCAATCAACCACACATAGACATGCAATTAATATAGAAAAATTAGTGTAGAGATCAATTATCAGATAATCGCACATAAGACAACATGTAATTAAAATAGAGAATCAATAGGAAGAATTAAATCATATGAATCATGTAAGACATAATTCCTAATTTAATCACACATAGACATGTAAATAAACTAGAGAATTAATAGGAAGAATTAAACCATAAAAATCATAGAAATATACCAAGATTCATGAAATTCATAAGGCTAGAATAATAATCACAACAATATATATATAAATCCCCAAAAATAAAAATACAAGTATTTAGATTACACAAGACTTAGGGCTCATCCAAACCCTAAGTGTAGATCTAGCCAATCATGGAAGAGGTGGATGTGGTCATAGAATCAAGCTCCAAATATGGCTCCATCTTCTTCTTCCTCTTCTTCTTCTTCTTTGAAGCTTTAGAGATGGAGAGAGAGTGTGGGTCTGGAGTTGGTTTTTATGAGATATGCCTCCACTTCCTGTAATACCCCTATTTTTCAAAAGGATAAAATTGAAATTTAACGTTTATTTTTGTGCATTTTTTATTGATTTTTGTGTCTATTTGCTTATGTGTTTAATTATTTTATTTCTATTTGATTTAATTGTTAATTGTGTATTTGAATTTGCCTTACGTGATTAATTATTCTATTTAATTGGAATTAATTATTTAATGGCATTATTTGCTTTATTTGTATTACTGGCTTTAATTAAATTATCTGAATTATTTTTTATTATTTGTGTGTCTTTGATTTATTAATATAGAGGTTTAATTATTTAATTACGTTAATAAAGTCTTTAGGGATTTCATAACTGAAACTGTTAAAAGTTTTGTAAGTGGAAGCAACAAAGTTTCTAACGAGGGTTTTATCCTATGGGCCGACTAGGGTTTAATTTAGATTAGGGTTTCTGTCGCGGATTAGCATTGGAATTAGGTTTTATCTGTGCCTATATATATATGGTTATAGTCTGAAGGAAGGGTTGGAAAACCCTATTCACGTATCAAAACATAGAAAGATACAGAGTGAGGGTTTGAAAGAAACAGAGCAAGTCTGTGAGGTTTCCGACTGAGGCTTCAAAGTCAGACCTAGGAAAAGGGAAGAGCAGAAGTAGAAGGAGGCTAGACAGTAACTCAGTGTTGCCGGAACAGTGGACACGATGCCGGGATTTCAACTGAAATCATAGGCAAGTTCTTTTCTTCCTCCTTCCCTTTGGCTTGTGTTCTGTGCACCTAGGTATGCTCTAGGGTTTTAATGGATCAATAACTGAATCATGCATGTTTTTATATGTCAAATTAATCATATTTTTGCCTTGAATTAGTTCTGTGATGATTTTTGAAAGTTTGGTTACAGTACTTGTTTTTATAAGCAAACTATAATCGGTAGGTGTTAAAGGATTTTAGTAATGCTATTTGGTATGAATAATGAATCTGGATGATACTGGATATACTTGGGACATCTAGGTTCAGGTTTAAAATAAACAGAGAGGGTTGGAAGCAGCTGGAGTTGGGGACGAAGGTCGTAGAATTCACGGAATCGCAGACGGCTCTCAGAAAGGGAGAGAGTCAGCTCCAGAAGGAGGGAGCCGGCTCCCCCCAATTGTAGAGCCGGCTCTAGGAGAGGTAGAGCCGGCTCTACCCTCTTGGAGATGGCTCCAAGAATTCTTGGAGCCTTCTCTTTTGTTTTTTGAGCATTCTCCTTCGTTTAGAGCCTTCTCTTTTATTTTTAGAGCCTTCTCCTTTTTTTTACAGCATTCTTTCTCTTTTTAGAGCCTTCTCCTTTTTTTAGAGCCTGCTCTCTTTTTTTAGAGCCTTCTCGTTTTGTTTTTGGAGCCTTCTCCTTTTTGGTTTTAGAGTAGTCTCTCACGAGGATTGATTTTCTAAAGTTTTAGGTGATGTTTGGATGTTTTTAATTTTGGTCTGGACTGTTGAAGATACAAGAAATCCTTCCTCCCTTTCTCTCTCTAGAATTCTTGCATTTCAACCTAAAAAATATCTCCCCTCCTCTTTCCATTACTTCTCCTATTTATAAATATTTACAAATATTGATGGACTGCTGGATCTGGGCCCGTTCCTCCATGAGTCTTGGTCATCTTTGATGGGCTTATTCGCGTTCGTCCCATATGGCAGTGTCTCTCTATGGGCCTGACCCATCTGTACGGATCGGATGTCGCGTTTGCAAGTCATATCTGGCCCATGTCATCTCGGGCCTCCTCAACTGCCCCCATAATTACCCCTTATTTAATAAGGGGGTAATTATTGAAGGCGTCTCATCATGACGTTGACGGCTCGAGAAACCCACATGGGGGAACGGACAGTCAGATCCAGAATCAATGTTCCGGGGCTCGATGAATTTCTCGCCTTCCTGACGCTTCGGCCCTCGGGTCCCCCTCGCCTTTATAAGGCTCTAGAATACCACTTCATGCCTTTTTACCGTCTCCATGATCAGTCAAATCTCTCTCTCTTTAGAACAGTGCTAAGCTTCTTCCGGTGAAATCCTTCAAGAGTCATTCTTCCAGCGGTCTCGCAGTGCTCTTTGTTGCTTTCTACCTCAGAGGTTAGTTTTGTTCCTTTTTACTTTCGGCAGGCTTCTTTTTACCCTTTTAGATCCTTCAATCACTTCCACCATGGTTGTAGATCTAGATGTTCTTCGTATGAGACTTAGACTTCCTGACAACATCCAAGTTAGGGTTTGCTCTAAGGATGTTAATATTATGACCGGTGCCGGCCTCCTTCCCGGCGAAGTTTTATTTTCAAACCTTCAACTGAATGTCGTTAGGTTCCCTCTACATCCCTTCTTTAATTATGTCTTCAATAGACTGGGGATATCCCCCCTACAGGTAAACCCCAATTTCTTTAGAATCATATCCGTTATGCTACTGTTGATTTGTGACAGAAGCCTGGACCTTGACCTCATAGATCTTCTTCTGTGTTATAAGGTCAGTAAGATCCGAACTAACGAGCCCTTCTACCACCTCTACCCGATCGACAAGATGTCCATATGTACGGACACAATCAAATCTGAAAAGGGTTGGAGGGATAACATTGTGGGCATTAGTGGGGCCTGGTCTTCGCCGGCTGCAGAGGATTACCCAATCCCGAGCGCCTTTGGCGTCTGTTCTGGTTCCTCATATAAGAAATTCAAATCTCATAAAAACGATTGTCCCTGCGAAACATGCATTCCTCGCTTTTGTACTTTCTTATGTCGCTCCTTAGGCATACCTTGTGATGACTTGAGCTACAGTGTTTGCAGGGATAGGAGTAATTACTTGAAGAAATACGTTCTGAACGATATTCCTTCTTGCTCAGACCTCCTCACTTCAGACAACCTTCTAGCGCTCTCATCCCTCGGCTATACCATGAGCAGGCTTCAGATTCCATCCTTTGGTAGGAGGAAGAATACTCCCCCACCCACTTCTGCTGCTGGAGCAACCTCCTCTCCTGCATCAGCCTCTTCCTCAGCCACCATCTCTGACACCATCCCGAGCACGGTGGCTATTGATTCTGTTGTCAGCACCCCTGCTACCAACCCGAGCGCGTCTCCACAGATCACTACTGCCCCTGCTGCCGCTGGGGGCGCTCGGGACAAAGAACGAGGCAAAAGGCCTCATCCTGACGACGGAGTCGACCCCGAGGAGGAACCTCTTATAAGAAGGACCCGGATCTCTGGGCCGAGTGCTCTCTTGCATCGCCCAGTCAGAACTCCTGCCCCCTCCGGGCCTGTCGCAGCTGGTGCCTCTGCTTCTGCTTCAGCTTCTCCTTCTCTTCCCACTTTACCACCGTGGGCTCCTCGGTACACCCGAACGGATGGGACGTTCGTGAAGCCGAACGAGACCATGCTAAAGGATGGCCAGACCGCCATGGCGTATTACAGCAGCATGTAGACTCCGAAAGACCTTGA